TTCTAATTATTATAAAAAATTAATATAATATTATTAATAAATAATTTTAAATTAACTTTTAATAAATACAAAAAATATATATAAATTATTTTATATTTTTTTAGTGATTTTTATAAATTATAATAAATTAAAGTTTTTATTATTAATTTTATTAATTAAAGTTCAGATTTTTTAAAAGTTATAAAGTTTTATTATATTTTAATTAATAAAAATTTATATAATTTAAATAACTTAGAAAATATTATTATAATTAAAATTTTTTATTTATTATTTTATTACTTTTTATAATTATTATTTAATTTTTATTCATATTTTATTGATCTATTTTAATTATTATATAACTTATATTTTATTAATTATTATATTTATCATATTATTTATATCTTGTTGATTAAAATTTATTATAATTTTATCAGTTATATGCTATATAAATAGTTATATATTTATTTCTTTATTTATAAATTTATATCTTTAATTATAAATTTATTTTTTGATTTATAAATTTATTTCTGTAGATATATACAAAGTTATATCTTAAAGATATTTAAAGTTATTTAGATATTTTTAGATATCTATATAATAATAATTTTTATATTTAAAGAGTGCTTTCATCTTGTGAGTGAAGAATAATTAGCTAAAAATTCAGATAATTTAGATTTGAAGAATTTAAGATTTGATTTGAATTTAGTTTTGTCTTGTATAATATACTCTGTATAATCTATTATAGGGCACCAAGATTTGAAGACAGTAATAGTAAAAAGTAATAATAATAAAGAGTTATTATTAATAAATATATCTTAAATCTTATTTGTATTCAAGAATTATCTTTATAATTCAATATCACTTAACATAAAAATCTTGCATTCAATAATAATATTGAAAACTTTAATATAGAAAAAGTTACATGTTCTTTTGATTGTTATTTTAATTATATTTCATTATTCTTTATATAATTACATCTACCATACTATTTTTCATAAATTAATAAATATAAGTTTGATTTAAAATGGATATAATAACAATTATAATAGTTTTTTTTTTTTAGTTCTGGTATCTTTAAAATATAATAACCTTGATATTATTTTTATTCTTGCAAAAATGTTTCATTAAGAATTATAAATTAATATAAAGGAGATTGTGATATTATGATAAAGTTTAGCCTGCTATATTAATAAATCTTTTTTATTGATCACACGTGAGATTTAAACATTTATACATAGATATGTTTTCCTTTTGTATTGAATAACGATGGTCGCCGAACTTTTGGCAAGGCAATGGAACATTGAAACCAAAATTATTGGTAATAGACCGACAAAATCCCAAATAAAAAAACTACTCCTAATAACGCCACCATAAACTATAATTATATTATCATGCATACAGAATGAAAATGGTTAATAATTAAACTAATTAAAAATGCAAACACTGTATTATTAATGGAACTAAAAATAAAAAATGAATTTTATATAGTGATAGATAAAGTTTAAGGGTCATGCATACGAGTTTCAAAATGCACCAATACATATAGCAAAGAAAAAAGTCTTGACGATTATAAAATAAACTTTGATTTCAAATCGTCTTGACTAATAAAAGACGGTTACGATTGTTTAAATATTTCTGCAGGAAAAAATATATTAATTTAAATAAAGCGAGGATATGCCTAAAAGAATTCCACCATGATTTTTTAAAATTCCAACGTAGACAGTATAACGATAATGAAAAAAAGATGACCTTGGAACTTGCATTGCGAAATGACGACGACTACAGAGGATTTGTTTATTTATTGCGCCTCATTGCTTTTTGAAACAATTCCCAACATATTTAAATATGAAAGATTCATTAATCCCTTCTTTTAGTTAAAAATATTGTTTATTAAAAAAAAGTCAATTTAGCATTAGGGTTTTGAAACATCAAATATGATTAAAAAAATAAACCTTAAACATGTAATATAACCGAATATGTTTTCAGTACATGCAATTCAATTAACGTGGACCATGATAAACTTGCAATCAACGCGAAATAATGTGATGATAACTGTCGTTTATCCAAATAAAAATTAACTTATTCGAGCCTGTTCGCTATCAATATTACATGTATTAAATAACAAGTGTAAAATACTCTCCAAATTGCTAATTTGATGATAAAGTAAAATTAATACTGGATTTGCCAAAGAAGGAAATTAACCTTCAAGAAATAGAGTTTTACATTATATGTATTTTTTATGTACGTTTGAAAAAATTTTGATTGGTGCTGGTGGTTTTTCAGCAATTAATGTTTTGTTTGATATTTCGTTTGTTTTTTGCATTAAACTTTTTAATTATTGTTGTTATACATGTACTGCATTGTATCGTCTTTCTTCATACGTCATACACACACACACACGGTACTTACAAATTGATCTAATAGATAAGATAGTTTATCTTTTTTAATGATGGAAAAAATGACAATGCGAAAGATCGAGTTAATGAACAATTAGCTTTTATTGTGATAAGACTTATCAATTGCATTTCAATGAATTAATGAATGTATCTATGAAAAATTTACATATTTGTATATAAAATTTCCCCTTTGTTCTATCTAACGTTTCAACGCTATTCATGAGAAGATGTTAAACCTTTTCTATTGTAATTGGCTAAGATGAATGGTATTTATGTATACGCTATTTGTATGTGTCATGCGCGCGAAATCTATACACGTTTCAAGGTATAATAACAATAATATCTTTATCACTTAAACGGGATATCATTTCATAACGCAAGCATCATTTTCACAAGCCTGATTCTTATTTTTTTTTCTTTTTATTTTTATTCTATTCTATTCTATTTTTTTATTCTGTTCTATTCAGTTCATCAAATTCGGCTTTAACATTATGTACAAAAAATAATGGTACATAACAACATTACACACACACTGCGCATACATGCGCGAGCAGAAATTCAAATTACGAATTAATAAAGATTAGATAAGGATACAAATAATAACATATAATAATAAAAAATAATAATAATAATACTAATAATCTTATCTAGCTGTCCCTTATATTTGACTTCGAAAGAGATTAATAGACCACGTTCTAATTTATTTTGTTTGGCCTATTGTCCTACCAGTATTTTGATCAAAAATGATTGATAGTACAATTTTCCACGCTTAAATTCGAGCGAGCAAATTACTTCCGAGATCTTCATAATTACATATTCCCAATTATGGAAATCAACACATAAACACGCGAGCGAGAACGAGGTGATGTGTCAATTTCACTAAGAAAAACGAATAGCCGGTCGGTATGTTTTTGTTTGGTATGTATTTTGATTACAGACATGATTTTTTTTTGAGCTTTAATTGACTTTTTTCAGTAAATAAATAATAAATAATAAATAGTAATAATCTGAAGAAAAACAAATCAAACCGTAGCTCGTTCAAGTGCATCTAATATGAAACTAATTCACTGCAGACGCCACCAAACAAAGTCAATTACACCGCACACACTAACCCAAAAATCATTAGTCCCAAAACTCTCTTGACGCCGATTATTACTCTAAAACAGTGACAAAAAAGTCACACACATGAACGACCACATACATACGACTCGCAGAATAACCATATCATTTCTAATTTATTCGATTGACGAACTAATAATCATCACGTTCGTTCAACTATTTTTAATTCGAGCAATATAATGTTATCGACATTGTGATATGCGTGTGTGGCAATAATTAATTAATTTCTATTTTCTTTTTTCCCTTTCTCTTTCTCGCTCTCTTTTCTTTTTCCCTTTTTCTCTCTTTCATTCTTTTTCGCTCTCCCTCCCTTTTCTTCCTTCCCGTAACAATATCACACCACGACCACCCCCTATATAAACCAAATACCCCCGAGTAAGCATCATTCCGTTCTTTGATTAAATTTTTTTTTACCTCGCAAATGCTGAAACAACGATTACAGCTGGCGACTCCTTTCCTCTAACCTAATAAAAATTCCCATAACTTTATTTTGCTTACGCCTAACATATTTATCCCGTACTTTCTCTTTCAATAATACACGTTCCCACCTTCAGCTCATACCTCTCTAATCCGCTAACCAAAATATACTTTACAGCACGAGTGAACAAGGGAAGAAAAAAGGTAACTCGATATTTGATAATCTTTTGAGACACACCGTTTCGACATTTCTTTCTCTTCCTTTCATCCACCTATTCACCGACATAAAATTCTTTCTGATTAAATTTGAAAATCCCCACATTTTTTATTCCTCTCCACAAATGATAACCGCCGAAATTAATCATTGCCACTCACAATGAATTTTCCATCTTAATTTTACATCTCAATTAAATTCATTAATCGAGAAAATGCATACGCACACAAAAGCGCACACTCTTTTTTTCCGTTTTTGCTAAAAATAGAAAGGACTGTCTTAATAAATAAAAAAAAGAGGCTAACGGATATTGTCACCGTATATTAATTATAATACATTGTAAATAATCTATCGTCGCTGGCTTCTTGTCCTTTTCTTTCCGTTTGTGTGTGTATAGTGTGCGGTGTTGTTCTTAGTGTAGCATGTAATTTATTTTCTCTTACTTTATTTTTATTCTTTTCCCTTTTTTTTTTTTTTTTTTCTTTTCACCATAATCAACCTTATCGTCGCCTATTATTAACCTTTTCTTCAGACCTGAAACAAGCAAGAAATCATTCAATTAATCGCTAACCCCGTGCCATTTCTTATTATTCTTTCTCGAAAAAAAACCCCACAAACAAAATACTTACTTTTTCTCAAAATTTGCTCTCAAAGTACAATAGTCCTAATTACTAAATCGTGAAAGAAAGATTCAACATTCATTCACGCTAACACACACACACACACAGAGAGAGAGAGAGAAATTACACAACTGGAACAGTCAAGCAAAGAACCGACCAAAGAAAACGAGCAAGGACAAGAATGCTCCTACCTAACACAAGGACACAAGTAAAGACAATCAGAAACCACACACAAAGAAGACACCGGACAATATGGCAAATAGTGCTCGTAATGATCGTGTGTCTGATAGCGCTTGTGGAGTTGGGTGAAGGGCATCGTCGTAATCATAATCGTCACATTAATCGTCATCATCATCATAGTAATTATCATAGTAGTAACAGACATTCGAGGCATGATCATAGTAAGCCAAAGAAGAAACTGGTGGGGGATGAGCAGGCCTCACCCACCAAATTCATAATAAAGAAGCAGTCGTCATCAGAACAATCACTAGAACTTTCAAAGCCATCACATCTGAATTCATTAAATCGTCGTGCCGCACCTTCTTCTACCCCAGATGTAAATATTGGAAAGAATACCGATATGAATAGTCAAAATAGTGATGCTTTAAATCAAATTTCTAGCGCAAATAAAGCTTATCCTAGTGGTACAGGTAGTAGTGGGTCGTCATCACCATCGTTCCCGAATTTCGATCAGAACAGTTATAAGCCACCATCAAAAGGAACTACGAAAAACCCATCATCCTCATCATCTTCTTCTTCGTCATCCTCCTCGTCATCAAATAATATTCCTGATTCAGGGACTACGAAAAACCCATCATCCTCATCATCATCATCTTCATCATCATCATCATCAAATAATGTTCCTGCTGATTCGGGAACTACGAAATCATCAAACTCTGCCGCTGCTAATGATAATCAAAGTACTGAAACGAGTGAAACTACAAGTGCTAATGGTGGTAGTCATGGCACTACAACTGTAACAGTCGAAGCAACTTCAGCTGGCACAGTATCTACTGTTCCTCCTAGTAGTGAGAGCTCATCATCGTCTTCTGCTGCTGCTACTAGTGCAGAGATTACTACGCCTACTGGTGATTCAGTTACTTCACCCACTGCAACGGCTACGCCTACTAGTGATTCAGTTACTTCACCCACTGCAACGGCTACGCCTACTGGTGATTCAGTTACTTCACCCACTGCAACGGCTACACCTACTAGTGCTTCAATCACTGCATCAGCTACTATTGCTACATCCACCGCAGCAGCTACTACTGCAACTGATGTTTCCGTCACTGCAACGGCTATTACATCTACTGATAATTCAGCTACTACACCTACCGATAATTCAGTTACTACACCTACCGATAATTCAATTACTACATCTACTGATAATTCAGTTACTACATCTAAAGATAATTCAGTTACTACATCTACCGATAATTCAGTTACTACACCCACTGCAGCGGTTACTACAATTACTAGCGATTCCGCCCCTGCGCCCACAGCAACAGCCACTGCTACACCTACTAGTGACTTGGTTACACCCACTGGAACAAAAACTGTCACAGTCGATAGTAGTGGTTCTACTATTACAGCATCACAGACAAGTGACAGTAACAGTAATTCTGCAACTGGAACAACAGCATCCGATTCAACAGCTGGGTCAACGGTAACATCAGCATCATCGACACCTACTTCCGCCATTTCAAGTTCCAATGATAGTAATTCCGCAACAGCTACAACTTCAACATCACCAATTACAAGTGTAATAAATACAGTTGAAACGACTAGTTCTAATTCTTCTCCGACACCTTCAGCTTCGGCTTCGGCTTCGAGTAGTACTAATTCGGCATCAAACACAGGAACGACATCTACCGATTCTGCCACTAATACTTCGGCTGCTTCATCTCCGACAACTTCAGCTTCGAGTGGCACTACTAATCCATCATCTGGAACAACAACGACATCCACTAATTTTGCCACTGATACGTCGGGTGCTTCCTCGTCAACTGGTTCAACCAGTGCGAGTGGAAGTACTGCCCCTACCACTACTACTGCTACTAATGTTTCTACTACTTCTGCAGTACCTGGTTCTAGTGCTGCGAGTGCAGCTACCAGCACTACATCTACTTCTTCAACCACAAAAGTAACTACGTCAACAACAACAACAACAACTCGGTCTTCAGTTTCCATTCCCACTGTTATCACTTCTGGCGGCAGCACAATTCCCGTAATGTCAGCTTACTCTATTGATGTCCCCTCTTCAATCTCGCTCCCACCTACAAGAACAACAGTCGCCCCAGTTGCCCCCACAGTAACAGAAACAAAACTCCCGATGATAATAGTACCACCAGGGGCGGGAGTCGCACCACCTGGAACAGTCACGGTGCAATTGAAATTAAATACACTCTCGTGGTCCGACGTAGTGAACAGTAGTACCTTGGCCGCTCAGATCGCCGTGTTCCTGCCTAAAGATATCGCGAATGCCCTTTCACTGGATCCCGCTCAGGTTGTCATCCTGGATTTAATAAATATAAATGGGGATGTCGTGGTGGAGATCGCGATTCCATCGGAAAGTGTCATTCCTCTAAATAATATTATCAAGAATCCCACAAGTAGTTTTTATACGGATGGTTCTGCGATATCACAATTGGTTGATTCCACTTATCCAATTATATCAGGTAAATTTGCTAATGGATTGATCGATTGATTATTTTCTTCCCATCATTTGAAAATTCACCGTTTTCTTTTTTTTGCATTCAATAAAGTAAATGGACCACCAATTGCATCTCCCAATAGCTCAAGTGGTTCAAGTAGCCCAAGCAACAACCTAGGTGGCGGAATCGGCCCAGGACCTAGTGATCAACTAGCAGCCGACAAGAATCCCAGTAACAAAGGAATGGTGATTGGTCTTGCGGTTGGTGGATCGACTGTGCTGTACGCTGCGGTGACGGCATTTGTGGTTCGTAGATACAAACGAAACAAGAGAAGTGTGGTGGAACAACAAAATGACTACATGTATGGACAGGCTATCTCAGCACCTGTTATGCAAGAAAACTCGTTGTGGTATCGGTGATGATAAATAATTGTGTCTTGAGAAAAGTGTAATAGAAGTAAAAAAATTTTTTTGGTGATTATATCGGTATATTTATTATTTTTTTTATTATTAATTAGCATTCTTATTGTTTTTTTTTTTCTTTAATTAATTGTATTATATTAAAATCATCTAAAGATTCCATCCTCCTTTATATTTCAAATATATAGATCTGGGTTTATAGTTAGATAAATAGCATTCGAATCATCATTTTGCGTGTTTGTGTAATTTTATTATAAGCATTAATCTTCATCATTATACATTTTGGCAATTTTTTGTTTAATTTTATTGATTCGATCTCGGAACATTTCTACAGTTCTGTACTATTATTGTTATTATTAAAGTTTGTTATTGTATATGTATGCTTTCAGATGGATCCCTCGTCGCGAGTTTTTTTTTTCCTAGTGTAAACATGGGTGGATGAAGTGGTTCATTTTTATTCATGTTTTTTCCATGGAATTTATTTTTTTGGCGAGTTAAAATGATAGATCTCTTCATGCACACACCAAACACCAAGATTACCCTACGATCTTTTTTTAGTTCACGCCATCATCTATCCCATTAATTATTTTTTTGTACAGTTTTTTCTTTGCTAGATCTTTTTTCTTTTTTGATTTTAATTTTTTCTATCTACATTATTAAACACATGCACCATCTCATTACCACATATAAAGATAAATGCATTTTCTTACCATTATGCTTCACATACGCGAAACAAAATTTACAATTGAATGAATGGATGAATTGTGATTAGTAGTTCGCTTGTTTTCATTTCTGAATGTAAAGGGATGTCATTTATCGTCATGCATGTATGTTAATTGCATCATAAGAATTTCATTATTATAACGAACACATGTTCCTAAACAAATACTTTATTTATTTTAAACACCAGAGAACCGATAATAACAGGTAAAAAAAATTTTGCGCAAATACTAAAATCACAATTGATATTATCGACACGGCATGTGTTCTTTAAATATTATAATTTAGATATATATATATATATATATCGAATAATGAATAATAACAATAATAATCATACCTACAAACTACCAAAAATCATTCATGTGTCCCATCGTCGCTTTCGTGTAGTACTTGAAGACGAGGCGGTTGTGGGTGGCATATTTGCATTGTTATTACTATTAGTAGTATTATTTGACCCAGGTGACGATGTTGTTGTTGATGTATGCAAACTTCCCAATGCAGGCGCAGAAGTTGTCGCTTTCTGAAAGTTCATTTGAAATCGGGATGCGAGTCCACTACCACGTATGCTGCTACTTGAACTACTAGTCGTCAATTGTGGTGGCGGAGGAATTTCTGCACCGCCTCCTCCCAATCTTGGTGTTCCGCCAAGTGGCATCGCATTTGCGCTAGTACCTGCGCCTCCTGATAATTTTACAGTTTTGGTAAATATGAAAGGGACAATACAAACATCATAATAGTGACCAACCTCGACCACTGCGTCCATGTCTTTTACCACCACGTCCTCGACCTCCTCTCCCTCCTCGAATACTCTGTCTAGTTTTCCTAAACCTGTTATTCTACAAGATCATGATACCAGAATAAATATGACTATATCTCAATCAATGCGTCATCACCATCACCATGCTTTACTATATCCCTCATGTTTACCTGCATTGCCAACTCCAATAAATCATCAGGAACCGGTTGCCCAGAAGACTCCAAATTTCTAACTAAATCACCTGCAAACTTGTCTTCTTTTTTGGTGATGAGTGTGTACGCGGTACCCTTTTCACCTAAAGTCACAAAATTTTGACGTTATTAATATTCAATTGCGTATACAATATTCAAGCACGGTAATTCTTAAATAATTTCATGTAATAACCTGCTCTCCCAGTTCTTCCGATACGATGAACATGTAAATCAATATCACGAGCAATGTCATAATTGATGACAGTTTTGACAGTTTTAATATCAAGACCACGAGCTATTTTACATTGCAAAACAGAAAAAATTGATTGTTCAATACAATAGATTCTTGTTAGAATATCCAGGAAAACAAACTAAGGTAACATTCCCTATTATTTGGACTAACCTGCCACATCTGTAGCAACCAAAATAGGAAATTTGTTATGCTTAAACTCTTTGAGCACTTTGTCACGCTCAGATTGCATCAAATCACCATGCAAAGCACCGCCTGAAAAAAAGTGTGTCAAAATTCCAGCTTAGTTAATATTTGTTTCAACTTTATTTATCATGAATACAAGATTATGGATTTTTGCATACATTGATGCCCAGAATTTTGCAAATTCAGTGAAAGTTCATCCACGCCACCCTTGCGACTCACGAAAATAAGCACACTTCCTTCTGCAATAGACGAAAAAATTTTTGTTAACAGAACAAAAATGAGAATCACAATTAAAAATAAACTCGTTGGCTTTTTATGGCTTACCAACGCAAAATCTGACCAAATGCTTCATTAGCCAATCCCATTTGTATCCATCATCAGGTAAAATTTCAATTACTTGGGTGATATCGGTGTTTGCCTTCGGACACAGAAATAGAAAAGGAAAAAAAAACCAGTAAAAGAAACAAAGTTTAACATTTTCACACGTATTTTAGTTCTGGTTTTTGCTTCAACCGGATAATCAATTACCTGCCCGACATTTCCTATTGATATTCTTACTGGTTCCAGGGTGACTTCTCTAGCCAGTTTTTCGATTTTCTTTGGAAAAGTTGCGCTAAAAAGCAAAGCTATATACAGGATGAAATCGTTTATTAGAGCACAAAATTTTAACAAAATAATTTAAAAAAAATGCTTTGAAAACTACTTTTTTGTTACTTACTTTGTCTATCTGGTCGTATATTATCGCATATAGACCGAACTTGCGGCTCTGTATTAAATAACAAAAAATTAATATAGTTGAAACTGTCACGTAACCAGCAATTGTTGATTTGATTGAATTCAAACACACCAAATCCAAGATCAAACATCCGATCAGCTTCGTCAAGTACTAAGAAACTGACTCTTCGAAAGTTTGTGGCCTTCATTTTAACCATGTCGATTAACCTTCCCTATAAATTCAAGGAAAAAACAAATGTTTCATAAGAAGATCTGTATTTCGTGATGCATGATCGAATAGAAAGGAATAGCAAGATGCATACGGGTGTCCCGACAAGAATCTCCACACCGCCAGATCGCAGTTCCTTGAACTGATCCATTTTTGATGCACCGCCATAAACTGCTGCAACTCTGAATATGGTGAGTAAAGCAATATGTGTGGTGGTGGTTTTGTGTGCAGACAGACATAGACAGACAGTAATATATGTGTATATCGTGTTTGTGCTGTCCTATTATACGTCAATTGATGGTATCAAATTTTTTATTTTTGGTTTGATTCTACCTCAAACTGTAACTCTTTGCAAATTTTTTGGCTTCGATGTATATCTGATTGGCAAGTTCTCGGGTTGGAGCTAAGATTAATCCAATAGGTCCTTCGCCTAAGTATATATTGAGGCATCATATTTTTAGATTTAATGTTCTCTCGAAATTTACATCATAAAGTCTACTGTAAATACCTTTATCAAGTTCTTCTTGATCCATTATATGGACCAGCATGGGCCAAATAAATGCCGCAGTTTTACCAGAACCTAAAAAACACCATCAATTGATCATCCAATATTTTACAATTGCACAAAGATAAACAATAAGCTTTAGCTCTCGTTAACTAACTTACCTGTCTTTGCTATCCCAATAATGTCTCGACCTGAAAGCGCGACAGGCACTGCCTAGAAATAGAAAAAACATAATAGTTGACACTGAACAAAAAATATATAAAAAATACTCATTGTAGCATTCCAAAATACCTGTTTCTGAATGCCAGTCGGTTCTGAATACCCATGCTTGATAATTGAATCTAACAACGCGTCATCGAACCCAAAATGTGCAAAAGAAACGCAAGGCTTTGCCACATCTGCTCCGGAGACATGCATGTCTAATATTTGGAAGAATGTTTGCTTGTTATAAATCAAACCACGAATTTTATGAGTGAGCAATCAGTGAATACTTGCCGAGTTCTCGTCGAATTTGACGCACCCGGTCTTCTGATAAAGCAGCAATGTCTGGATGCTCCTCGTAAAAATATTTTTCGATCTCTGGATACTGTATTTGAGAATGATCTAAAGTATTAAAGTGAAATTCAATAGTCAATAATCCTTTATTGGTTTCTGCAAAGAAATTCAAATTTGGATATATTTATCGATATATATTTAATATGGTAAAGTACCAATTGCGGGCAACGGCTCTACATCTTTGCGTTTTTGCTCAATAATAGGGTTATCGTCAGAATCGTATTCAAGTTGAGCGTCAATCGCACGTGCAGTAGCGTACACCTCATCATCTGAATTTGCATTCTATATATTATTTAAACGATTTGAGGGTTCATATGAAATAAGCAAAAATATTTATAAAACAAAAACGGAGAGAATTACTATAATTTGATTCATGCATCATACCTCGTCTTTTTCAATAGGCACTCGTTGATTTTTACCAACTTCAATGCCTTTCTTCTTCATATGATTCACATAACTTTCCACGAAATCTTCGTCTTCGATATCATCCCTTCGTACCTGTTCAGCGTAATAGCATAATTCGAAACAAATCTTTTTTTTTTCTTTTAAATTTTGCACAATACTTGATCAATGAATTACTTTTTCTTTTCGAATGCTGCTTTCCCTGCTTTCTTTTTGTACAATATCATCAATGCCAACCATAAAAGCGTCAAGTGGATCATCTTCTTCCTCCTCCTCTTGTTGTTTTGATACGGCAGAACCAGTAGCTGAATGCTGATCTTCGCTTCTCCTCTCAAAATTTATCGTTTTATGTTGGCTAGAATTGTAACCTTGTGGTACAAACCCTCTAATGCCTGAAACAATAAAATGAATGAGAAAGAGGTCCGTGACATCAAATTTGTAGTTTAGAAATGACTTTCATAACCAACAAACCGGTCGATGTCTTTGGCAAAACACCCCGTTCGTCGTCCAAGTCACCAACAAAATCGTCATTTTCTTCCTGTTCCTGCTGCTGTTGCTCATCGCCTAACTCTTCCAGCCCTTCAGAGATCAGTAAATCATCGTCATCTAATTTTACCAATTTCCGTTTTTTTGGTTTCAACGTTGTCTCTTCAAAGAAAGAGTCAAGCGCAGGTGGTGGTTTCTGTCGCTGTGAGCTGCTTTCTTCTGAGTCAAATACTGATTTTCTTGAGGTTTGTTGTGAGAAACCAAAGCCAAGCTTCCGAGACATTTTGTTTTGTAGGATCTACTTTTCCAAAAGTTTACTCAACAAAATTTGTAGATCTTTAGCAGCCCAATAACTTTTAATTACGGCAACGATTTGATTGGTGGCATTTATTATAATTCGGGCCGGCATTATGATAATGCGAATTATCATAATGCAAGCCTTGTTGCTTGTAAAATCCCTTCTTTTAAAATAAATAATTACCTAAAAATTTAAACAATTCTTAAAATTTAAAATAAAATATTTTATATTTAGGCTTTAATTATAAAATAAAATATTTTATATTTAGATTTTATAATACTTTTATTAATATAATTTTTATATATTAATACAATATTATAAATTACTTTACTTAATTATGCAAGATATAATTGCTAAATAAAAGTTATATATATAAATAAAAAAATTATATAATAAAAACTTATATG